TTGTATTAAAACAAAATTTGGAAGAAATAGTTGAAGTTGTTTCATTTTGTGAAATGTTTTTTTCAAAAGTATATATTTTGTAAATATTTTATTAGAAAGATAAACACAATATGTAAAGTATATATAAATATATATTCAGCATGCGCAGTATAGTCATGAAGATTATGCTACTTTTAGAAAAATATTAATTTTGTCAAGTGAAAAGAACTCAAACTTTTTAAATATATAATACTCACAATTACATCTAAAGACTTATTATTTGAATTATAATTTTATATTAATAATTTAAACTGACTGATATAAAGAAAAATAACAAATTTATAATTGTTAATCATATGATTTAGTAATTAAGCCGATAAATCTTATTTATTTTATTGAATCACAAATTTCATTTGCAAGAATTAATAAATTTTAATTAGGATTTAACATCAAATATCTTACTATTAATATTTATGTATAGTAAATTCATCAAAACCATGAACCATTAATGAATTTTTATGATTAATAATATTTTAATTTATTTTAAAAATGTAACGAAATTGCAAACCTGCTAAATTAATATTTTATGTTAACTAATGGTTGTACTTTTTTATTATATAAAATGATTTTAATCATTATCCTCTTAAACAATTCCTATTTCATGATGAAAAAAGTTCTTTTAAACAATAAAAAAATTGTTCAAGAGAATAATAACGAAATCATATATTTCTGATTAATAAAGCAAAGTAAGAAATCCTCTTTATTACTAAGTGATTCAATTTGATAGATAAAACTAGAGAAAAAAGAATGATAAATTAAAATGCAAAAAAATGTGAGAAAATAAAATTAAAATTTTTTTTAAAAAAAAAAATACACATATAGCATATATCTGAATCAATCTAAGAAAAGAGGAACTATATTATTAAAAATGAATAATTCTTTAAAAATAATCAAAAATAAAATTATACAATCACTACAGTCTGAAGAGAAAGATAAAAATTTAAAAATAAGATTTAAAAAAAAATCACAAAAAAGTATTGTGAAAATCTATGACTAAAGTTTTGAAAAAAAAAGAATGTTAAATTGCTATACCAATAAAGGATCTTAATATATTATTTTAGATTTTTTTATTTTTTTTAATATTTTTTTTTAATATTTTTTCTTTAATCTCATGTAATGAGAAATTACGATTAATAATAAAATCATTTTTAATTTGAATCATTTCTATTTTCTAAAATAAGGAATGTTAATATTCTTTTATTAATATACTTTTACCTGTTAATTCTGTCTAAAGCTTTTTTCTTTATCATTGTTTGATTTTCTGACATTTTATTAGACATCTAATACATCTAATTTTTTGTATGAAAGTAAATTAGAATAAAATTTATAAACATCTTTCTTGATAGATTAACAATAAGAATCCAGAAAACAAATATTTTTAAAAAAATTATTTTATTAGATAATCTATTTTAAAAAATGACGAATAAATCATAGTTTATCAGCTAATCAAATATTAACTGATTTTTTAATTAATTATTAACTAACTTTAGCTAGTTAGCTGAAATTTGGTTAACCAATTTAAATTTTTAATAATGGTTTCTAATAAAGTGGGTAGAAAGAGAATAGATAAAATATAAATAATTTTTTAATGAGTTTTGGATTAACTTTTTTCTTTAGAACTTTGAAACCTTAATGCGAAGCAGTACTTAAAACTGATAATTTTAGTGAATCAAATATTTTCTAAACAAAAAAAATTACTTTTCTAGTAACTTTTTTATCAAATAAAAAAAAAATAAAATGAAAATGAAAAATAAATATTACGGAATTCTCATTATATATTATTTTTTAAAGTTAAACAATAAATCAACAAAGATTTATTATTGCAGAATTTTAATTCCTTAATTTTATATATAGTTTTTGAAAATTAAAACAATAAGTAATTATTATCTTAGAATTTTAACTCCATAGTTATATTAAATAAAATAAAGAAAATTAAAAAAGAGAAAGTTATGTGATTAATTTAATTTACATGTATAAATATCACTGTATTTATCTAATGTCAAATTTATAAAAATATTTTAACTATTATCATGTTTCAATCTGATCATCAAATTGACTTTATTGATAAAAGTGAAATGATTCAAAGTTTTTCTTCTGTTCATTCAAATTCATTAGATACAATTGAAATTCACAAAATAACTAAATTGTCAATATCATCAAATTTAATATATATGTTAACATATAGGCAAGAAATCAAATTTTTTGAGTTATAGAATGTCATCAGAGCAAATAATTCACCCAATAAAGTTATCAGCATGACTGTAAATGAGAATATTAGTGACTTTAAGATATTCAATAAAAAGGATATTATATATAAAGTTGCAGATGATGCTAAAGGTGAGACTTTATTTATCATTTTTAAATAATCATACAAATTTTTAAATGCTGATTATTTATTTTATTTTTAGTAAAATTATATGATTTGGAAAATCAAAAAGAAATTACAAATAACATTTATAATCAATTTGAATATAACTATACAAACTTTCTTAAAGATGGAGATTTTGTATTATTTAATACTCCCTAAGTTATTAAATATGCATCATTAAATATGAAGCAATCTTAACCTAAAGTTATTTATAAATTCAAGAAAGAAATCAATTATGGTAGCATTATAAATGATAAGATGTGGTTGACATAATATGATTTTATATTTCTAATGGATTTAATTACTTTTTAATTCCAGATAGTTTCCCTTTTTGTAAGTATAACTTTTTTTTATGATTATTATAATAATAATAAATTGATAATAGTATTCAATTTATCATTATAAAAAGGAAATGAATCTAAATACTAAACAAATAAACTTTAAATTTTCTGAAAATTTAATTTTAATGAAAGTTAATAATACATATTATATTTATTTCAATAATATTCCAGTTGGAAAGATTGCGAATACAGGTATGATTTTATATTATCTTTAGTATGCTTCTAATCCCTTATAATAATATTATTTTATTTATTTTTTGATTAGATGCTTGATAATTTGATTTTTCTGAAAATAATGATGAACTTATGACTATATTATCAAGTGTTAATATCATCAATATTTACTATTGAAAATCAAATTTAGAAAAATCAATTATTAAGTTCAGTGAATTATTTGGATCTGAAGATCAATTTAAACTTATTTAATTAAGAGGAAAAAAGATCTTAAGAATTTGTAATGAAGAACTCAGATTTTAACATTTTAGACGATTTGAAAAATCACAAAGTTAATGATAATATAAATAATTCAATTAATATTGAAGATAATGAAAATATAAACTTATGCAGCAAAAATCTTTTGATGGACTTAAATCAAAGTTTTAATTTTCTAATACAAGTTGAAAATGATTTTTTTTGAAAATTATCTTATCAATTATTTAATGAATCATGATATAACTAGATATAGCTTTGTATTAATTAAAAAAGTCAAGATATAATAGTTTTAAAAGATGTGATTAAAAATGAAGAAATTTTAAATAGTTTTAACCATATTGAATTTAGAAAATAGAAACATCAGATAATTAATAATTCATGTATTATATATAATGAGAAAGTATTATTTATTTATACCTTTAATTTAAGATCTAAAGAATTTCGAACGCATAATTATGATCTTAAATTTTTAAAATATGAAATTAAATATTATAATAATCACATATTGAATTATTCAGACATCGCTGAAATTATTAATCTATCTGAAAATGATGTAGATAAACTTAAATTCAATTGAACAAAATCAGATTAACCAGCCATTTAGTAATAATGAATTTAAAAAGCAATGAATTAATTATCTATTAAACTCAAAGTATTATTTCACATTATATAAAGAAAAATTATTTAAATTAGCAATTGAGCAAAATAATATAGATTTATTAGGAAAGGATTTTAATAATATTAAAACTTTTAAAGAAGACTCACAAAGTAATATTTATATACTATCATACTTAAATTACAAATATTCTGATTTTATTTCAAGATACTATAATAAAATATTATTTATTACCCTTTTTTGAATCCAAAGATTAATTATACCAACTTTGTCTTTGACTATTTTCATTCTTATACCCTAGAATCAAAAATTATTAAAATTCTCTATAAATATTTTTTATCACTAATTTATTTTTTTGAAGAATTTCCAATTTCAACTATGTTTATCCTGTTAATTTTATTTTTCTTTTTTATTCTTATTGTTTTAGGATTTTATTTTTATCATATTATTGGTAGTGATAATATTTTTGTAGAAATATTAATAATTTTTAATCTAACCCCTTTATTAATGCCATTAGATTACAAATATATCATTTTATCATACAAATAATATTAGTTGTAGTTTTTTTATTTAAGCAAATCATTAATTATTCCATAATTGGAGAGATATTAGGCTTAGTTATAACTGTATTAGTTATAATTTTCATAACAGTATGTATAATATAAGCAAAGCAAAATATACTTATGATTTTATTGATAATCCTATACCCTTATTATATTTTGTATCCTTCTGAATTTAAGTGGCTTAGTGAAATTTTTAAGCCTTAACCTAGTCTATTTATTAGAGCATATGATATTGAATTTTATAAATCATGAAATGGCAAATCTTTAATTAATTTTAAATGGACAAAATTTGGAAAATATTATTATGCAGTTATATAGTCATTATATTTGAGTTTTCTTAATTATTTTGCACTTTTTTCAATAACTTTTGATTCTTATTAGTCATAGTTATCTCTCATATTAGATCTATATCATCTTTTATTTGTGATTTATCAATTTTTTTTGGGATCCATTGAAATGGTTGCTAAATATTTGGAATTGATTTGGTATGTTTGTTTATTTTTTCAAATACTGAATATTAGGATCATTGTTTTTAACATAAACTTTTATCAGATTTAGTTATTTATTTATTGCCTACAATTACAACAATCCGTTGGATCATGAATAAAAATGATACATCTAAGCCTTATTTAGTTTCAATTGTATAACTTATACTTGATATTAAATTTATACTTTTTTTTAAAGTATTTAAATTATTTGGGGTTTATTTTGCTATTATAAATGGTGTTGGCTGCAGAATTAGTTCATTTATTATAATTCTTTTTTTATTTTTTTTAGTTTTGCACATGCTTTCATGAATTTATTAAAACCAAAACAACCTTTTTCTCTGACAAATTTGAGAGATTTAAATGATAGCAATAATCCTTGTAGACTTACAGAAAAATACCATCAAATTTCTGATGGTTTAGATGAAAAATATATTTCAAAGTTTATCTTATATAAAGAGCCTGATAAGCACACTAATTTATTTATAAATATTTTTAGTTTCCTTTTTGCTTTGTATAAATTCTTAACAGGTATATAATTATCAAATTATTTATTTATTATTATTAATTAATTAATTGTTTAATATATTTTATTTCTTTTTATTGTAGAAAATAATTCACTAAATATTTGGACTCTTAATGATAATAAAACTTTGATTATATTGATGGTTTTATTTTCATTTATAGTTGTTATATACCTTATAAATTTATTTATTAGACTATTAAATAAGGCAATTGACTTTAATAATGACTGAACATATTTTATAGTACAAAAAGCAGAGGTTAGCAGATGTTCTATATTCTGTTAATAATATTCATAATTTTATCTTATCTTTCTTTTATTTTTATTCTTTTAGTATATAGGTTCTTAAAGAAATTGAATTATTTTATTTGCTTTCACATCAAAGATGTTAGAAATCATAGTTTTCTAATATTGCGTAATTATTTATTTTCCTTTATTTTCCTTTAAATATGAATTTACATGTACCTTAATTATAATATTTATTTTATAGTTTTTATTATGCTGATGATTATAAAACTCGTTAAGCTGTAAAGAAGTCAATTGATGACAAAACTTAGAATTTGAAAGAGCTCACTGAAATGAAGAAATCCTTTTAAAATATCTTGGAATTGATAATAACTAAAATTTCTTAAAAATATTTTTTATTTTACATAATAAAAAATTTATCATTAATTATATGGTAAATTTAAAATAGCTATGAATTATTTTATTTTTAAGGTGGCATTTATTTTTTAATTGACAATATATATTTCTTAAATTACTACTCAAGGAATCTTGCCAAGAAAGTAAATTGATCACTTATACTACCAAAGGATGAGAGACAAAAGTATTACACGCTTTTATTTTTTCAATAATATTTTGTTTTTTACAGAAACATACAATTTTTTTTATTTTTCAAAAACTAACATTAATATTTAGTATGTCTTCCATTAGCGTTAATCACAGTCTAAATTCTATTTGGTATTGATTGCACTAAGTTTCAGTACTCCTTTTGTGATATCACATCCCACGCTTCTTTTACCACCTTTTCAAGCTCAGGAATGCTAGAAGGTTGAGGATTGCATTTTCAAATTTCTATCTCAACTATAAACCACATATTTTCAATTAAGTTAAGATCAGGAATTTGAGTAGGTCATAGAAGTAAATCTACCTTTTGAGAAAGCAAAAACTCTCATGTAACCTTTGAAGTATGAACTGGCGCATTGTCTTCCTGAAAAATAAATTTTTTTTGTTTTTCAGAAAAATTCCTTGAGCATTGAAACTGCATAAGTGGCAAGAATACCTTTGTAAACTTCTCCAGTAACTGAACCTTTAAGTGATATAATGGGTCTCAACTTTAAAAAGGAAAAACATGCCCAAAATATCCTTTAAGGAGAATGTTTTACAGTCGATGCAATATTATCTTTATGAAATTCCTCTCCTGGTTCTCGCTACACTCGTCCCCATCCAGATTTGTGAAATTGAGAAAAAGTGGACTCGTCTGTCTAGACTATTTTTTTCCAGTCTTCAATGGTCCAATCTTTTCTTTCCATTGCTCATACAAGCCTTTTAGTCTTGTTAATTGCTAAAATTAAAGGTTTCTTTCAAAAAATACAAGAAGACACATTTTCCTCATGAAGTGCACGGCGAATAGTCTTTTTGGAGATTGGTTTATTGTTTTTAGCAGAAATTATTTTAGTAATATCTGCTAAATTTTTCCGTCTCAATTCTTTG